TTTCCTGGGTGGGGGTGAGGCAGAGACCTGATCACTCTTTTGCAGATGGAGGGATCTGAGGAGCTGGAGAGCAGCCTCCTGACACAGCCCTGGGCTTCTGTTTGCTTTGGCGAGTCTGCTTTTCTTGCCAAAGCGTGCTTCAGGGATACTGGCTACGTCCTGCTGATCTCCGACCTCAGCAGCGTCTGGTACGAGAGTGCAGATGCTGAGGCCGTGGGACAAAGGTCCAAGGTGAGTGTCTGGAAAGTCCAGGGATCTCCTTTTCTCCTCGCAGCAGCTGACGTCCCAGCATAAACTGCTTGGTGACACAATGACTGTTGGACCTTACAGTGCTCGGATGCAAACCACCGGCCTGGGAAGTCCCTGGGTGGCTCTGCCCATTACTGTCACCCCAGTTGGCCATGCGCTCTTCTCCTGAGAGACTTGGACAGGCTATTTGGCATGCCCAGGGCAGCCAGGTGTTCACTGGGGCTGCGTGCTGAGGCTGGCACACTCATTTTACTTGTGAGCTGGATGGGCAGCTGGTTTCCCCAGGAGCAGCATCCTAAGGAGAAGCTTGAAAGAAGGCTGCCTTCCCACCAGGGGTGGAGAAACTTCTGTTCATGTTCACAGCCAGGCACAGGCTCCCGTGGGGTGTCTTGTCAGCACGACCTCCAAAACACATGGGGCCATGCCTCATCTCCTCACTCTAGCCTGTGTGCCCAGGACCCCATGTGCCACCCCTGTCTGCCATGTCCTTCTGTCACGGAGTGACTGTGCTGAGCAGCTGGTGGCAGGAGGGATGGGCATGCGGTGGCAGCCATCCCCCAGCTCTGGCAGGTGAGCTGAGCTGTGACAGCTCTCAGCCAGCCTGTGACATGCGTGGTGGCATGTGGGCAGATGTGCTGGTGGAGACTGTTGCCCCCTGCCCACCGCCTGGACTCTCCTGGGCTGGCAGAGCAGATGAACTATCCCAGCTCAGCTGGCGTAGGAGAACCAGTCAGGAATATCCTGTCACGGGACTGGAAGCTCAGGCCCAGGGATGTCTTTTTGCAACACTGGGACACACAGAAGTGGTTCGGCTCCTTCTGTGCTGGAGTTTCTGCTGCTTCTTTCCCAGTACCAAGCTCCCTGGGGCATTGCTGCACCCCTAACCTTGCCTTTTCCCAGGAGCTGAACAAACGGCTGACGGTCCATGTGTCCTCCTTCCTGCACCGCTTGTGCAAGCTGATGTGCCCCTTGCTGGCAGGGCAGCCGGACGCCACCACCTCCTTCTCCTGCCACCGCAGTGCCAGCGGCCTCAGCCTGCATGTGAGGAGTGAGCTCTCGGGACTGCCCTTCTACTGGGACTTCCACTGCTGCCCAGCTCCGGTGGAGATGGTGAGCGAAGCTGCGGAGGGTTTGAGGAGGGGGGGATGGCCAAAATTAAGGAATATTTCCTAATTCTTTGAGGCTTTGAGGTGGTCTGGAGCCATGCTGGTGGCTGTGGGA